TGCTGCAACGATCATAAATACATGCTAATTTTGATCACATGACCATGGGGATGCTGTAATGAACATGTGAAAAGTCATCATAAGTCATTTTTAGTGCCATAACTTGAAACAATCACTAAATGAATGGTTGTAAGTCAAGGACTACCTGTACTTTGTAATTCATGTGCAAGTAGAATACTTATATTCAATTCACCAACTTAATATTTAGGAAACAAAAGCGTTGAAGATTTTCCAGTCTATAGCCATTCACACATGACAACCCAGAATTCTTGGAAATCTGACTTAACCATAAACAAACAGATGCTGCTGTTTTATTCAGCTCATCTTACTATCAGGAATGCATGATTTGCTTACCTTTCTGCCTGAAACAGTAAATCTGCTTGCTTCTCTAAGATGGAAGACTCATAAGGCAAGAATGTATTTATTTCAGCTTAATAGTAGAGAAAGAACTGAGCGTTCTCAACTCATGTACAGCATTAATTGAACCATAGAGCTGTCCAGTTTTTTCTGCTACAGTATCACTGAAGTGAGAAGGGTTATAGTGTTTATTATCAGAATAGTAATTCATGAATGTTCCAGAATTCACAAATTTTCTATTTGTGTAAAGCTGCTCTAATTGCTTTTCAGCATAAGAGAATAAGTGATTTCAGTAAAAAATACTTTTGAAATCTATTTCCAGAGATTATTTCTTTAGTATCATAAATTATTTTGAAGCATTTATTCAGAAATATTTCCTTTTTTTTTTCAGAGTTCGAACATTGATTGAAGAAGGTTATGATGACAAAATTGTGATTGCTCATGATATTCACACAAAACATAGACTAAAGAAATATGGTGGCCATGGCTATTCTCATATTCTTGAAAATATTGTTCCAAAAATGCTCACGAGAGGAATATCTCAAAATAAAATTGATAAGTTATTGCTAGAAAATCCCAAACAATGGCTGACTTTTAAATAAGAAAACTGTGATCCTGTTTACTTCAGTGAAAGTAAAAAAAATAGAATTGAAATTCTTCTTTGATTGAGGAAAATAGAATTGTACCTTTGGAGTACAGAAAAAGAAAATAAGATTTGTAATGCCCGAACCCCAACTTTTCGATTGTATGACTGCAACTGAAAACAACTGCAAAATAGATGTATTTCTGAAAAAAAATAAGTTTAATGAAACATTTTTAATATGAAGATAGAGCGTATCATGTGAATGAATCAAAATTATTTTTAAATGCCTTATATGGAATTAATTTGATAGAAAACATTCATTTGAATTAATCAGAATGAGAGACCTCAATCATGATCTGGGTCACAACTGAATGTAGATGCCATTGTTTTGTGTGTAAGTCCTTGATAGAATTATTACAAAGTTTTGTTTTAAAAAATAGGACACCCTAATATGAAATGCATTGTGCTTTAAGTATATCCAGCAATAAATCCTTCCTTGCCTCACCTCATACTATACATGTCTACTTATAGGTTCATTTGAGCAAAAAACTTCACATGTGAATTGGGCCTTTTCATTTCCAAAATGCAACACACAGCATTGCATTTCAAGGTACAGTTGAAACTTTTGCTTTCCTGAAAACCAGCCCCTCTGCATAGATCTATCTACTTCTCTGAAACATGACTCTTCTGTTGCTTGAAATATGCATTTTAACAATTTGGAAAAAAATCTCCATGTTTTGCTGTCAGTAAATTTGTCAGAATTATTTTCATGGGTTTTTTAAAAAGCAGTTCTAGGTATGCTGTGGCAAACTGAAAAATAAATAACGTCTCTATCACTTTATAAACTGGTGGCATTATCAAGAAAATTTCAACAGGATTATCAAAGGAATATTTTAAGATCTATTGATAACTTATGAAATTCTTTTCATGCAATCCAGAGCGGATGATAGAATTCATTTGGCCCTTTGAACAGGAATTTGCCAGGGATCAGGGAGGGAGGGAGGGAAAAGGAACGGGGATTGTTTTGGGAATCAAAATCTAATATTCAAGCTAAAGTTAAGAGAAGCTACGGTTGTACAAACAAATATGATTGCAGTTTAAATGTATGGTTACAAAGAAAAAGAAGAGTCAATTCAAACTAATTTCTGAAAATATATATGGAATCTATTAGATTGTACATAAATAAATTCCATTTCACTGGAGATGTTCTCGATGTGGTGATCCTAAATATATCAATAGGACAGATTTTTAATTGATTTTTGCAAAAAAATACTTTCTTGAAAGTGCATTGAATAGATATAACAACCATTATCAGGAATCTATTTTTAAGGTGCTTGAGAGCCAGTTTGGTATAGCAAATAAATAGTGCCAGACTAAAAACCAGGAGACTGTGAGTTCTTGTCTTGTCTTAGATACAAAGCCAATTGGGTGTCCTTGGGCCAGGCCCCCCCTCAGACCCAGTGAGAAGGAAATGAAAAGCCACTTCCAAAACATGCTGCCAAGAAAACAGCAATGACTTGTCTGTGTAGTTACCAGGAATCAAGATTGATTTAAAGTATCTTCATAAGCAGATTTATAGTGCCTACTTATTTATTCACAGCAGCACCTGAGCAAGCGTTTGTCTGGGTTTCAAAACTAAGATTTAGCACTTCAATAGATTACTAAGGAATTCCAGGGCTGCTGAAAACAGAATAACAGAAGAGTTGGAAGGGTCCTTTGAGGTTGTCTAGTCCAACAACCTGCTCAAGCAGGAACCCCTATAACATTTCTGATAAATGTTTGTCCAATCTCTTCTTAAAAATCTGCAGTGTTGGAGCAGCCATGGTTTCTGGAGGCAGTTCGTTCCAGTGATTAACTGTTCTGTCAAGAAATTTCTCCTTAGTTCTAGGTTCCTTTTCTGCTTGATTAGTTTGCATCTATTGCTTCTTGTCCTGCCATCAGGTGATTTGGAGAATAAACTGACCCCCTCATCCTTGTGGCAGCCTCTCAAATATTGAAACACTGCTATCATGTCATTCCTAGTTCTTTTCATTTCTTTTCAAGTATCTGAGAAGAAGGCATGACTGCCATGCAGTTGCTTAAGAAAACTGCATGGATGGAGGACTCAGTCTCGGAGTATACATTTTAACTTTTTCAGTTATTTCAAAGAATATTATATTTAAATCATTAAATATATGGAAAATTGTTTATGGAATATAACTGAAATAGTTGATTCTCTTCATTCCACAAAAATAGGCTTAAATGTACCATATTTGAAAATCTCTTTACACATATTTTACACAATCCTATTTCATATTCTCTGAGTATCTCTTTGCATTGGACTGATAATGAAACATCACATTTACAAGTTTGGCATCTTAAAATATGCACTCCTGTACATAAATACTCAGAAGTAAGTCCTATTTGAATCACAGGTTAATTTGTTCTAAATTGGTAAACAAATTAAGTCTAGAAGTCTCATTACTGAGTTCAGAGCCTAATTATAGACTATAAGTTTTTAATGTATAAAATCTTGACATTTAAGTTAAAAGAGAATAATTAGAAACATATTGGATTATTTGGAGATTATTCATTTTTAGATGACTTTCATGAAATGTAGTCTGTAACTATTATACAGTAATATTAACACAAATTGTGAGCAAGATTATTATATTATAAACTATTATAATACTTGACATATCTTCAGGTCACAGTCCCAAAGATACTTGATAGCATCATGGAGTTTTATGTGGCATTTCTTTTGATACAACAGAACAACAAAACACCACATAGAGACTACCATTAAAGCAGTTTACTTCTGAGCAGATTTGCATAGGATTGTGCTTCAAGCTTCCCCACCCCTCACCCCCAGTTTATACAGCTAACTGTAAGTGGGATATTTCCTGAAGTGCTAAACTGGGCAGAATTACCCTGTGCAAATTAGATTTGAAAAGCCCATCTAATTAGTTCTATCCATAACTACCTATATTATGTCACTGCTCCACTACTGGGGTGAAGTTTGCATACAGCTGTAATTGTAAATTGAATTGTAAATGGCACGCAGAATGAGATTTGTGGGAAAGAGCAAACTTAAGTGTTGAAAAAAGCTGCTAAATTCTTTAGTAATTGACAAGAAGCAGTAAGAAAAATTTCTACAATCTTTTTTTACAATGTTCTAACTAAGATGATGCCCAACATGATTTAACTCATACCAAACTGCTGCTCCTGAGTATCTACATCATGAATTCTATCCCTTTTAATTTCTTAAGAGTAATCAAATTATATTCTTAATAATTAGAAATAATACCGCCAACACTCCTAGTCCCAGAATATAGGGTCGTTGTTTTTTTTAATTTCATATTTTGTTTTCATGGAATGCAGTTGTTTTATTATTGTTTCTAACTCTTGCTTTGCATACAGAAATCTGCCCATTGACTTCATATATTTGTGGACTATTCTTACTCTATTAAACTAAATGGGACAATCCTCCTGGTTCTAGAGGTGGGGTATGCCTGTAAGGAATTACATATTAACAATTGCATAATATTGAAGCAATAACAGAAAATGAGACAATTGTGCTGTAGTTGTATTTTCATCTAAGTTCAACAACAATAGAGCTAAGCTTTGAAGGAGCCCTGTTTCCTATTTCTAGCTAGCCAAGGAACAGAAATATTAGGCAAATATATTCCTTGGAGGGAACAGCAGAATTTCTCTTACATCTTCCTTTTATTGAAAAAACATTCTTCATCATATACTCAGAATTGGCTCATAGTTAGCAGATAAGTCATAAGCACCAAAGCTGATGGATGAAGAAAAGCAGCATGAAATCATAGCACACCAAGGATATCACATATGCTTAAGAAGTAATTTGGTGCTTTTTCCTCTCTCTCTATAAAAAATTGTGATTTATATAGAACTTCATTCACATGAACATTAACAACAAGGACTATTTTGCTTTGGTGATAGTAGATCACACACCTCTTACACTTTGTTCTATTTTTTTAAACATCTTTCTCTGGGTTGTACAGATATGGGTTAGGTAGCATTTGGCTTCACTCCTGAAGAGTCTATGACCAATATCCCTTGGGCTTTCTTTATCTTTTTATTTTTGCCAAGAGAATCGATCATTAGAATGTCATTTAGTTTGTGTTTAATATCAGTCAGCATAAATTATAAATCCAGAAAATGTGCTGTATTTGTTGTTGTTTCCTCCATGTGCTTTTCCACCATCTAATTTTATATAGACTTCATCTCCTGGTTCCAAATGTAGGACCACGCTGTTGCTGGCATAATCATAGTTTTGATCTGCATCTTGTGCAATGGCACTAGCTCGCACCTAAATAAAATACAGAAAAAAAGACTGTTCATAATTTTAGTACTTGTCAACACTCAGGAATGAAACTGTATGTTCACTTGCAAGTTCCAACATATATTTTTGGTATTTTTTCCCTTTACCACTGCAATCAACATTTCACAAAAGAGCCAGTTTTAGCTGTAGTAAAGCCTATTACAACTACGAACAAATAATTTGTTGTCTGACTATTCCATCCCTAAGCAAAAATAATTAACAGGTCTGAAATCCTTTTAAACTAACTTAGCATGCCACTTGTTTTTCACATTCATACACAATCTTCTTTAAAGTTTGTGCTAGCCTGCATGGACGTTCCTCCATTTAGTTTCATATGATCTGCTGAGAAACATGAGTTTTAACAATGAGCTGGATTCAAAATGATTACTCCAAATTTCTAACCAGCTATCTTTGTGAACTGCCAACTTTAACCTCCTTTCCCAATCTGTCATTCTTTAAATATATTTGGGTTTGCAAACTCAACACTTTTACAAGTTTCAATATATTTTTCATGGAAGTTCAAAATGATGTGCAATATATGGCTTTTGAAATAATAATATATGGAAAATTATAATGCAAAAGCTATTTCATTATTACATTACATTATTTCACTAGATTACAATAATATAATCCTACTGATTTTTTCACCAGATGAAACTAGGTGTATTAATATGATATTGTGTATGATTCCTATGAGTTCTATATCCGAATCGGGCCTTGAATCTTGATTCAAGATTATAGAAGCGTGAAAGTAGTCAGCATATAATCCATTGATGCTCTTATATCTGAGTCAAAAAACTTAATGCTCTTCAATAAAAAAAGATCAAATTGAAATATGGATCATCTGAAAAAGCAACATGAGTATGAAATCACCAGGTAACTCACTTTTTAATATTAATATTAAAAGATTTTCATAAAATCAATATTGAAATATATATTGCACAGTCTTGAGACTCTAGTCATATACAATTATTTAAGTCCTCAAGCTCAAGATTTGTTTTAAAATATAAGTCATATTGGATTAACTATATTTAACAAATAGACAATTTGAAGCTGCTAGCACCTCTGATATCAGTTCAACATATAACAAAACAAGAATTGCATCAGATCATTTATATGTACTTTAGATGCATAAATATTTAACCTTTGATGACCATTTTTGAAATGTATTTATAGTTTTATCCTATTTTTAATAGATTTATGATTTAATGCTTTTGGATGTCTGAACTAAAAAAATAATTCAAGACTTGATATACACTCTAGATAATTTTGGAATTGGAAGAAGTACAATATGTTAAAAAATGCCTATACATGTCTTTCAAAAGTATATATGATAAGTTTTCAAATTAAATGTTTATATGTAGTTCCATGTTAGTACAGAAATGTTAACAAGACTTCCTACTGTGCAAGATCACACAGCGGATTAGAAAGCTTAGAAATCACAGAAGCAGAAAAAAACCTCTTCTGCATTGTATAGCAAGCTTCAAGAAGGCTTATAAGATTTGTAATTACCTTGAACACATTCCAATTTAAGCTGCCATAATGTAGAGTAATATCCCAAACAGTCCAATTTTTGATTTCATTGCTTCAGAAATAATTTACTATTTATTGAGGTGATCTGTCTTGACCACTCTTTAATCAATAAATATCACAAGGGATATTTCCTAAAAATGAAGAAGCTATAAACGGCTGAGGATCTTAAAATACCAATGTCTGAAATGCACATCCTTTGGATCTATGCTCTTTCTGAGGTAATAATTCTAAATAACAAAGAGGAAAATGATACCTTTTGGTGTATGTGAATGATTATTGCAAAGTGAGGTGAAATAGTTAGTGTTTGCATTTCATTAGGTTTAAGTATTTAAATTATATTCAAATTCCATGTGCTTCATCTAAATATTTGTTGGAATTGCATGATGCTTGATATTACAGCTGATAATATTGGTGCTTTTATCATATGACATAAACTCTACCTTCAGCATTAAATGCTTTAGCTTTATACATTATGAGGCAATGGACAGATGTCACATAAATGCATAGTATTGCTTACTGTACACTACCATAGAATAGAAACCATAATAAGGGAACTCAAAAAACAGTTTGAACAATGCAATAAGCTTTCTATTTAGCTACTGGGCCTTGCATCTGCATTAACCTGAATCCCATACTCAGTGTACTACCTTTATAGCTTTTTCTCTTTTGTTTTGCTGTTGTGAGTAGATAGCATAATCTTTTTAAAACCTATAAGGACAGCCTCAGAAGAATAGTCCAAGCTGTATTACTGTACATGTTAAAGGCATCTCCAAATTAAAACAATGTGGTGAACATTACATAAGTTTCATGACTGCTCACCTCGTTGGGTTATAAAGGTATACAGGGACAGTTAAACTGCAAACAAACTAATTATGTTGTAGTCTCAGCAGTTCTATATTTATGCTAACTATTAAGGAAAGCAATAAGCTATGTGGGAATCCTTTAAATATTCAATATGTTTCTCTTAAATATTTTCTCCCTTACAAGTTGCATGTATTTCAGGACTGTTATTTTTCTCATTGCTATGCAATCTATAACACTTTGCCCTCTTTTTAAAAGATAATTTGTCCACCCTACCAATAATTTGTATAGAAAATTCAATTCTCACAGTTCATTAGCTATCAATGCTATAAGATCAAATCATTGCCCTGAGAATATCAATGGATTACAGCTAGTCACCAATATTAAAAAATTGGCTTAAGGATTGCTTATGCCTGCATAAATATGAACTGAATTCAGTACTAGTAAGATCAATATTTGCCTGTTTGTTTGGTGACTGAATTAATTTATAAGTGTCTGGAGCTATAGATTTAGTCTATCTTCAAGTAATATGAACATTTGTTTTCATACAACATGCCATGCACTAGATTTTATTCTGTTTTTATTTCAGTCAAATTTTAAATAGAAAAAAGTTTTCCTTGTAATCTTGATATAAATGTGGAACTGTACATTAACTAATAAGTGTAAACCAATATATAGTATTTACGAGTGAGACTTTAGTTTATTTGATTATTGTGTATGGTTCCATAGTTTTATTTTTCATGTACTAGTCAGAAGATATAAACACAAGGTTAAAAGCCATGTATGATTAATTTATCATCCTCTGATGACCCCATCTGTAATAAGCAGTCAATCCAAAATTGAGGTGATTAAAAAGTGCTCCTCTGGGTACAGCACATTGGTATTCTGCAAAAAAAAAAAAAAAAAAAAACCCTTCAGTAATTTCCAATTTCATTATTCTTTTCAGGAATAGGATATCTTCTAATTTCCATATTTGAGTTTTTGCAAGATATTGGTTAAATGCAGAAAAACCATGCTCTGTTCTAACTATACTTTTAACACAAATTCATAAACAAAAAGCAAATATGAATTATTTCTGGTATCTCTTAAACCAGAACTGGCCATAAGAGAGAAAATAGCCATTTATGTTTTCAGTACAACAGTTCACACATAGTTGGCACACACAATGCTTACCTGTACTCTAAATGTAAACTCTTTTAGTATTTCCTGATAAGGATTGTGAAATCAACATATTCAGTAGAATTAAGACAAGTCTTACAAGATAGCATTATGTCATCAAATTATAATTTTACTTGGACTTTCACGAAATTATTTGGACATTCACTTTGCACGGTTCATTTTCATCCATAAACCACTGAATTTTTGTGGGAACAAATCCATCTAATCATGAGTACTATTTTTTTTCTTAGCCATATAATTATCAATCACATTTACACAGACATTAATGAATACAAACAATTAGCATATAGATGACATCTATAGTTATATGCATTCATTATTGTCCATGTAAGTAAGATATATAGAGGTAACACTAGAATGTAGTGAATGTAGAATGTAGAATGATTAAAATTTATAAACCATTTTATAAACTTTCATGATCTTTAGTATCGGGAGGGGAGGAGTTCTCCTTTGACTTTTTGCCAATAAACTTGGGGAAAGCAGAACAATTATACCTTCTCTAGAAAGTTTCAAGAACATGGCAACAAAACCTGATTTCTGACAAAACTTTTAAGACCAAAAGTTTCAATAAATCAAGTGGAGATTGTCTGTTTAAAATAACTGGGTCTTAGTTTAATTATATTTTAGCATTGATTTCACTTTGTCTATTCCAAGTCTTGAACATTTAGTAAGCTAGAAATAAACTCACAAATACCAATTCTCAGTGCACTTATTTGGAATCCCAAAGGGAGTTATGGCTCAATAAGTATGTACAGATATTGCATTATGGGATGCTAAAGTGTTGGCTTAATTTTGTGTTTATAAAACTGGGAATAATTCTCCCACCTTCCCAAGTTTCTCCAGGATTTTTTATTTTTGTCTTTTTCATTTCTTTCGGACTTACTGTCCTTTAGCCTAAAACTCTGCCAAAAGTGCGCTGAAGCTGTAACGCCGGCAGAACATTCCCCCCATACCCACACGGATCGCTTCCCTTCTTCACCCATTTTCTTCGTGCCTGGTATCCTAAGGAAGCGCCCGTAGGTTTGCCGGAGACCCCTTCGAAAACGCTCAGGTGTGAGTGGTGTGGATCCTGGCCGCAGGGAAGATGGAGAGAGTCCTATCAGAAACGGGGCTTTGAAGGAGAGATTTGCACGGCTGCCACCCGGTTCGACATTCATCTCAAAAACTCTGTCCACCCCCCCACCCCCGGGTAAATGATAAAAGTCCCCGGGAGCATTTGGAACTAATAAAGGGCTCTTTGTTTCCAGTCTGGGCCGCCGTGCCAGGAGGCCCTTGGGAAAAGCCCGCGCTCTCCTCATTGCTAGCTAGGCGCGGTTGAAAGAAACTGCCCAACCCGCCAAGCGCGGTCCAGCCTTGTCTCTCCTCCTAAGCCTCTTCTAACGAGCCGGGGCTTCTAGACAAGCTTCGCCCGCGCCTCGTGCAGACTTGGGGAAGAGAGGGCTTCTCGGATAGCGAAACCGGCTTTCATTTCGGATGCAAACCTCTTAAGGAAGAGGAGGAAGGCGCTTCCTAACAGGCCCAGTTGAAACAGGCGCTCCTGGTTTCCTTCTTCCTCCACAACTGTCTCAAGTACTGTAGCAACTTCTCCGTTGTCGCGCAGGAGTCATATAAATTGCTTTTTCTTGGATGCGGCGACGCTTCTGAAGTTACAGCCCCGCACCTAAGATCATTAGGGTCTCCTCTCGCCTGCTTCCTATGAAAAGGTGGATCGCCCACTGGCCCGCTCAGCCCACATGCCCACGGGTACTGGAAGGACGATTCCCTTTCCACTGCTCGCTCCCTCCCGTGTCCATATGGGCAATGCACGCGACAGCAAATGCTTCCCAGCAGGCCCAACGCCACGTCCGCCTTATCCCCATCTACTTAAACTCTTTGTTAGATTCCCTTTCCTATGTCCTGGGGCGCAATAAGTTTCCTGAAATTTTCTCTTCCCGCCTGCTCGTCTCAGAAAACAATTTAAAATGCGCAGTTTAAATAATTGACCCCAAGACTGTTACATTCCCCCCTCGACTCCAGGTATCCAACAGCCGGCGTCTTCCATCAGAAAAAGGGGGGTACTGAAAGAGCGAAAACCAGTTTCTTGGCCCACTTACTGTGGGCGTAATGGCAGGTGATTCACGGAAGAACAAGGCGGAGCTCTTCAATCGATGCCCTCCGGACGCTACACCCCCCTATTGCCAGGCATGGGTATCCTGTTTTGGGAATGGGGCGTAATGTGTGGTACAGTTGCCTTCCACTTTCGCTCCTGGAGATCTCGAAGACAGCCGGAAGATATTAGATTGGGGGAAGCTCAAGTCGTCACAAGTAGGCTGCAAACTTTACTTCGCTATTCACACATATGCAGTGAAGCCTGATTAAAGCCCCAGATCTATTCCCGTGTACACCTATTCCCATGTATACTATCCCCGTGTACACGACCATTACCGATAGCGTGCAGCGTTCTCACAAATCGTTAACAGCCGCATCCAAATAAGGATTTCTCAGACTAACCATTTCTATTTAAAAAAAGGTGTGGGGGGATGCGCGCGCGCGCGCGCCTGTTTATTTGTTTGTAATTTCCCAAAATAAATAATATATCCCTGCCTCCAAGATAACCAGGAGTTAAAAATCAAGAAACCTCAAACATTCTCTGCCTTGTTTGATAAATTGCTGCTGTTCTGAACCCAGCAATCTAAAGCAACAGAAGATTACAATCGAGGTAGGAGAGGGGATTTTTTTCCCCGTCCTGGGGAATTAATATTTATTAACATTTTCACCGAATGAGTTGCTGCCTAGGCCTGTCCTCGTAGTCTTACTCGGTAGGTAAACTCGGTTTGGGTCTAGCGCACCATCTTCTCAAGTGTCTCCTTGCTAGCCTAAACTCCTACCAAGATCCTGCCTTTTGGGTTACCCACAGAGCCTGCATGGAGCTCCTTTCCCAGATTATCTTCAGCTTCCTCAGGTCCCAGAGCTCTGTTAGCCATGCGAGCATCTCTCCTGGGGCTTTCTCTTTAAAGATGCAGACTCACCTCTTCAAAAGTGTGCAAAAATCCCCAAAGGCTTGCAGCCTTCCTGTGCTTGCAGAGTGGAACCTATTTTTGCTCCCACTGGATCTTCAACTTCCTACGCTACTTTTATTTTCCTGCAGGATCTCCTAACACTTACCGGTCGAACTCTGTGTCCATTGAGTGGGTTTTTTCCCCCCCTTAATTTTTTTTTTGGGTCCGCTTTCTCTAGCTAAACTCGGCCAGAGGCGGCTGCTGGCGAGGCGGAAATGCAACCTGCAGAAGTCCAACCAATGCAGCTATCTACCCCAAGCGGGCAAGCGACAGTAGTTGAATTTTTGCCTCTGCAGGATGAACTTGGCCGAGAAAATTTAGAATCGCCCCCTCCCCGCTCCGCCGGGGTTCATTTCTGCGCCCTGGAGCTCTCCCCGGTCCCACCTGGTTATTCTTGCAGAGGTCAGCCCACATGCTGGTGCCGTCGCCGCCCCGCATGAGCACGTGGTAGGTGAAGAAGTAGATGCCCGGGATGGAACAGGTGAACTTGCCGGTCGTCGGATCATAATGGTTCCCCAGGTTGGTGACGACGTCGTCGAACTTCAGGACCTCGTAACCCTCGTGCTGGCGTTTCAGGCCCGCGTAGAAAGCGATCTTGGGCACCGTGCTGTAAGTGGCGGCGCTAATCGCCCCGGCCGCGTTCAAGCCCGGCGCTCCTGGGGGGCCAGGTAGACCCTGGCGCCCGGGTTCCCCTTTCTCTCCCGGCGGGCCCACCGGCCCCGGCGGACCTGGTTCCCCCGGGGGCCCCCGAGGCCCGGCTTTACCCGGACGGCCGGCCTCACCTTTGGGGCCTTGGATGAAGGTGGGCAACGACTGCATGAGGCCGCGATCGGGCGTGGCCGCCGTGCTGGGCGCCTTGGTTCCGCCATAGGGGTCGCAGACCATCCGGCAGGTGCCCAGCATTTCGTAGTGCGCCGATGTTCCCGCCGAACTCACCAACACCGGGATGAGGATGACCAGCAGCAGCACCATGACCACCCCTAGCGCACCGGCCGCGATCAGCCGGCGCCTGCTGCCCACCAGGCGGCTCAGCGCAGGGCGATCCTCTTGCCTGCTTTTGGACAAAATCTTGATGGTGGGTCGGGAACCTCTTCCAGCCGAAATCACCGCGGGGTAGCCTCCCCGCGTCCGTGGGGCCTTGTCGCCCTCTTCCTCCCGTCGACCGGGAGGGGCACGCGGGCAGATCTCCTTCGCCAGATCCCGAAGCTCCGGGAGCCTTGCTCCGCGCTGCTGTCGTGGACGGCTTGGCTTCCCGTCTGGGGCACCTGTGGCTGCCGCTGCTGTTAGGCTGAGTGGAGTCGCTCACACTTTTATGCTGCGGCTGGCGATCGACTTTTTTTTTCCCGTCTATGCCAGCTCGAATCAACTTCCCTTCTGCTCCTCCCGGTCGTCTCTTTTGCGGTCTTCTCGCGGGTCGCTCCCCTCCCCCTTTTTTTCCCTCCCTTCTTTTATTTCTTTTTATCCCCCTTTCTTTCTTTCATTCATTCATTCTTACTCTTCTGCAGCGACAACAAATCTCCGAGGGCAGCGGGGGAGAGCGCGTGGGAGTCTGGGAGATTCCTGCTCGCCACTCGTGCCGGGGAGAAGGAAGGAGACGGAGGTGCCTCTTCAGCCCTGGCTCACTCTTCGCCGATACCGCTGGAGGGTCCCCAATCGCGAGACCCCGCGCGCTGGAACGGAGTAGAGTGATGAGCGCACGCAGCCCGCTACCGCGACAAGAGGAGGCTGCTGAAGGCGCGGGGTAATTTATAAGCACCCAAAGGCGCAAGGGAAAGAGGAGCTGCTTTGGCATCTCATCCCAGCATCTGCTGCGCTCAGCCCACTCACCGAGAGTTTGGCATCTCTCTGACAAGTGTAGGGAAATGTTTTCCTCCCCTCCCTTCTTTCCCTGCCTCCCTCTCCCTGTTTATCCCTTCTCATTGAGCAATGAAATTGGGAGCTCTCTTCTTGCCCATTCTTAAATGATATGGCCCTTTTCTTGCTGGAGTAGCTCATGGAAGGTAGAGAGATCTACTTAGGACTTTCTTCCAGTCTTTGATCCTGAATATAAAGGTCAACGCTGCTCCTTATTTAATGGTTCCCCCAGTGGCCTCTGTCTGTCATGTGAAATATCACTTTGAATACAAGGGTAGTGTATTACAATTCACCTGACAACCCAGTGTGTGTGTGTGTACACATGCACACACACACACACACACACACACTGCTCCTTGTTGAAGTAACCCATGATTTAAAGCACACAGAAAATCTCATTTCTTGCTTTCTTGCTCTTTTTCTGGAAATCAGAGCCAGAGAAAGGGAGGACCACCCCCCTGCCCATATTCAATAAATTTTTGAAGCTGTGATACATGTTGCTTCCTGGATTCCTCTTTATTTAAACAGCTTTATAGACCTTCCTGTACATGAACTGAGTGTGCTTTCCTGGCATGGTGAACATGTATCACATCACTTCTGCCCATCTCTGGAGCAGATAGCAGCAGCAAATTGAGCTTCTTCCAGATTCAAGGCAGAATAAGGGCACCACCTTAAACCACACAAACCATTGATTCTAAATTATACTTCTACAATCAGGCTCAATTGGATGTCAGTTCAATGATGGATGACATTTGCCTGTCAATATGGAGATGATGGTTTGAAAGAGTGTGAGATATTAGAAGCAGGGTAAGAATCTGAAATAAGCAAAAGTGGTCTGAGAGTGGGGAAACAACTGAGTAGCATCACACCTGGTGCGTGTTGACTAAGAACCTGTGATCTTGTCCAAGTTGTTGCATTGCACAAATCTCTTCTTTACACACCTCCTTACACTTCAACTCCCTATTTTTCCTTTCTGTTCCACAAGACAATAAGGTCAAAGAGGCAGACAGCAAGAAATATCTATTGATCCTTCCTTTTAAGCAGAAATGTCAGCAGCTTCTTGCATTTTTCCTTAAGAGAATCAAAAGACGAAGAAGTGAGTGACCATCGCAGGCCATAGAGATGGGCTGACCCAACTCCTTATCTCCTCAACAGCATGCTGATAACAACAAAAGGGAAAACATCTGATTTCTTCACTTGTAAATATTCTTACCAATTCTCTTTTTCTGATTTTTGTCAGAGTTCAACCTTTTATAATCTCACAAACACACAACCCAGTTGGCAGATCCCTTGGCCTTCAATACCCCCCACATACACACACATACACACACACATTGCCATCTTGAAAGAATTGGAGAGGGGAGAGAGATGTTATTTATGCTATATCAGTTTCTCCCAAGAGGAAAACGTTTTGAAACATTTCATCTTTTGTAAGGAAAGGAATAACATAACAGGTCTCAAAAAATCAGACATGCATTCAGTTTTCCACAGCCTTCACATCAACATGGAGTTTTCATAACATTAAAGTTGGTTATAAGCCCCTTACCTTCTGTGTGCTGAAATGAATATGAGTGTGGATTTCTGGTTAGCTAAAAAGCAGCACTTTCTAATGGGGGGTGGGGGAAGGTTTCCCAAATGCAAAGAACTAGTGATAGAAAAAGGAAACCCTAATAGGATATGCTTCCCAGAAAGAAGAGGGATTAATAAGGACAGGTAGAATACATGATTGGATGGGGGACGAAAAGAATATAACACACAGGAAAAGAGGACGACTGGCTGACTAACCCTAGTTATACTGTGCTGCCACATTTTGCTGCAGCTCTTATTTGTCTTCTTTACAGTAATACCAATCTGTAAAAGTTGGAATGGCCCTATATACATCATGCCCATGTTGCCTTAGGAAACTTTAATGAGGCTCAGACAGTTTGATAGATGTCTGTGCCTGTACACTGGTTTATAACCTACTTGTTCAGGTTAAACATAGAGAAACTCTGCCAATATTATCCCTGTTACTTCTGCCTTAAGTGCTTGGGCTATTGCAAATTCTGCTCTCTTCTTTGCTTCACCTGCCAGTAGGAAGTTCTGAAGAAATCACCCAAGTAGGTTTGGTGGTATATATAAAGTGAAGTGCAAAATTCAGGATTTATTCACCACTTTGCTAGAACAAACAATAATTTCCGAATCCATCTTTAATTAGGAAGCCAAAATGACTGGTTAAAAAATTATAATGAACTATCTGTAGAAGGAACCTCTGCTGTAGACATGAGAAGCGAAACAGGAGTGATTTGTTCTAAGCCATAATTCATAATGATTGTTTAGCTGTGTGAATGCAGCTCATTTTTTAAAAAATAGTGTTGATCTGGATGGTGGTGGTGGTGGTGGTGGTGGTGATGATGATGATGATGATGATGATGATGATGATAAAATAGGTGAAAACATCAGGTAACAGATTTTCCTCCTCTCAATAAATTTTCTCTCTTTAAGGTCATACAATACATTTTCAGCAGTTCCATTAGAGATTCAGCTCTCAGTCAAACTATTCCTGCAGGTTTGAGACAGATGCTACAAGTTTTTCAAATTCCGTTATTACCAAGGTAGGAAATGCATGCAGTGTGTGATATTTTGAAGCCTTTCTATCTGTTTATCAGCAGTTGCTGTAAAAGTTGTTTGTATTTCCTGCTGTATAATGAAGAAAAGTGTGGATTTATTCGTGCACATCCTGCATGTTGAGCTGTTGTGGCTTTGCACCTGTATGCCCTGGCAAGTGATATCCTTCCGTGCCACAGCTCTGCTGCTCTTCCATAACAATGCTTTAAGGAACATTTGGGGAAAATATTTTGCTATCCAGACCAGATCAGACTGTTTTCAAGCCTGATCTTTCTTTTCTGAGCTTCCCCCATGCATTGCATACCAAATTTATCTCATTCTGCTCATTTTTTTGTGAATTAATTTACTGATGGACAAAGATATGAAAATCTGCCCCCATTATATAATTTCTTTCCAACATTCTGTTGGATTAGAAAGAATACAAATCACAATCCCTTAAGGGGGACTAATACACTACCTTGAAAGGTTAGAAAACCTGACTATAGGTCAGGTATACGTGTTAGATCACTTTTCTCAAACTTGGCAACTTTGCCAAATGTGTGAAATTTAAGCTCCTGAATTCCCCAGACGGCATGCTAGCTGGGCAATTCTGCGACTTGAAGTCTATACATCTTAAAATATAGAATGTATTGTATTCTAATCTGGGATGTAATGTCACATATCTTGTTCTCTGTAGCTGATGTTTTCCGACAACAGAAAGGGGTGGAGTATTATGGTTTTTATTTTAATAATGTAAGCTGCCCCAAGTCATTTATATATGAGTTGGATGGCCATTCAAATTTAATATACAATCAAACAAACAAATAAGGTCCATAGTGAGGCATCTCTGCTTCCCTCTTCATTAGAGCCACCAATGCCTTGGCTGCAACTGTCCAGACAGCCACTAAATGGACACAAATAAAGTGAATTTTCTTTACGTGTCTACCGCCATCTAAGGATCACCCAGATTTCTGAAGTTTGTACTCCTTAGTTCTGCTTTATATATATAGGTAAAGAGGAGAAGTGTACATACACACACACACACACACACACACACACACACACACACACCTATGTCCAGAGAAAATCTCAAGTCCACACTGCGCACAGATAATTCGTAATAGTGTGTGGTACTGGTTTGAGAGCCACTGGAAAGAGATGCAGCCTAGGGAATGATCAGATAAAAAGGGGTGGGAACATGCAGCTGCATAATAGGCACAAAAAGAAACAAAAAAGTTGCATCCTAAACTCTCAGACTGTAGAAAGAGACAGCAGAGGATTTGTACTTTCAGGTTTACTGGATTATGTTAATGTAACCTTACAGTAAAGTAGAATTAGATCATCTTGTCATGTGTTTCCTTTCTGGTCTACCTGGTAGGGCAGACAAGAGAAAGAGAAAGAATCTGAGGGGGGGGAGGGAGGGAGGGAGGGAGAGAATGGAAAGGGAGAGGGAGGGAGGAGAGAGAGAGAGAATTAAGAGGGGGAGGGAGGGAGGGAGAGAGAGAAAAAATCTCCTTCGCTTTTCCTGCTTCCCTTTCCTTCTTTTCATATTATTTGCTTTGTCCCCTTGTTTGCTCCACCCTCTGGTCCTAACTTCTTTCTTCCTTCTTGCCTATGGCCATGGGAATCTGGAGGGTCTGATAAGAAAAGTCAAGATGGTGCCTATGTTGATGGGTTGAAGCTCTGGCCATTTTGTGTCTGTTTTGTGTGTATCTGGACTGTTTTTTCTTTTTGCCATAATCTGGATGGGGGGTACCCTTTTTCTTCCATTTAACTCTTTAATGAGTGTTCATTTCTTTCCTCCCCAAATGAATTGTGCACAACTTCTGTTTAATTTTGCATTATTGAAAGTAAGGTAAGTAAATAAATAAGGAAAAGAAAATTGGGCAATTAGATCTCTGATTAGCTTTTGGCTTAATTTTTGATAAGTAACCTAGTCATTTTTGCAACAAGTATTATGCAAAAGCTTCTATAAGTTCATGAACATTATACTATTAACAAATGTATTTTGTTCATTTTCTCTTGCTATTTGTTCAGAATTGGAAACATTCAATGACTAGATTTTGGAGGTAAGGTTACTACCTTACCTCCAAAATCTAGTCACTGAATGTTTTCAATTCAATGTATGCCAATTAATTAAATAATTATTTGCAGCAATTTTGGTACAAAATTGTTTGCCTTCGGTAAAATTTAAATAAAATGTGGCGATTTTAAATTTAATTATACTGTATAGTTAAAAATTAGTGTTAGTAGATTTATATCATAGAGACCATATTATAAAACTTTTAAATACCTTTTAACAATCTGTGAAGGAAGATTGTAAACAAGTACATGATAATAAAATGTAATGCAGAAGATGAATGAAATGCTGATAATTGGGAACGAATTGACAGCCATTGACAAAATGAGGATTGGATGATAGCGGCAAATATACTGTACTTGTGCTGATTAACTGATTTGCATATATAACATGGTTAAATAAAACCTAAACAATTGATTTTGTCAAGCTTTGTTCAATTTTGTCTCTGAAGTTTCTGTATTTCATTTCACTTTATCAATCAGTTCATTCCTCAGTCTCTAATAAGGGATATACATGTATATTTTTCTATGGGTCTGCAATTTAGGACAACTTTGCAACACCTAAACAGTGGATTGTAGTCTACTGTTAATGCGATAATCTTGATTTTAAGGGTTTTTAAAACAACAAAATAGTTATTGCTTCCATCCTAACCCTAACCCACAGTTAGAGGTATTTTTCCTACAACTTGGTATAATGAAAAGAGATGCACCTTTTTAAATACTTTTCTAAGTGGACCCCGAATTAATGCATGTTGCTTTCCTCCTATTTAATCTTTACAACTGTAAGACTAACCTACCTCTGAGGTAGGTTAGTCTTACAGATAGAAAGTAACTGCAGTTTATGTGATGACAGCAGGAATCCATAAATTTATTCTCCAATTTATTGGAGGAGTACTTCAGATCTAATTTTGATGCTGTCATACATATTAGACTTTTTGCAGCCCCTTTTGCAATTATCTTCTGATTTTATGTCTACAAGTCCTTTCACCTTCTTTGATAACCATAATCTTTTTTCTTAGCTTTTGATAAAATACTTCATTTATTAGGAAATGTTTCACCTTGCACATCAGTTCTGGACATCTATGGGGTGATATCCCTTTTAAAAGCCTTTTGTCTTTCAAATTTGGACATGCTAATTATCGCTGTTCAAAGAAATCAGTCAAACTTGATGATAATTTCTTGGTTTAACATGCTGTCAAGGACCAAGACAAATCAACTTTGGGGCTGGTGTTAAATCTATTATTCTACATATATTTCTATGCCCTTATTTTCAGAATCCCTTTTCTCTGATCTTGCTTCTGAAGGATGCTAAGATTTCATCAGGAGTAGTACAAATCTCCATTTATGTTTTGTGGAATATTTTATATTTTATATGCTAAATACTGTTATTCCTCACCCTTTCCTCTTCTTCTGCTTTCTCTTCAGAGTCTACAACTACTATTTCTACTGCGATAATTTGTGTACATGTGGGAGCAAGACGGGCAAATGAGTAAATGTGTATTATGACCTTACATTGCAAATCATATGATTTATGGACTCCTGGAAGAAAAAATGGTGAATCCGCTCTGTTAAAAGTAGAGCCAAGGATTATGGTAAGGAACAAAGAGCTGGTGAGTAGACCTGTTCATGGAACCTCTATAGCAGTGGTTCTCAACCTGTGGGTCGGGACCCCTTTGGGGGTCGAATGACCCTTTCACAGGGGTCGCCTAAGACCATCAGAAAATAATATTTTCAATGGTTTTAGGAATAATTTTATTGTTGGGGGTCACCGCAACATGAGGAACTGTATTAAAGGGTCGCAGCATTAGGAAGGTTGAGAACCACTGCTCTATAGACAAAGAGGGGATGGGAAATTGCTCATATGCCTTTTGAACAGTTGATCCTTGTGAGCAGGCCAGAAGACAATAGTCCTGGCAAGTCTTGAGTACTGAGAGATAATCATAATAGCCATTTTGTTCACAACCATGGTCAGCATCTTTTAAAGGACACTAAGTTTTGCAAAACTTCCTTTTGTAATGACTTTTTGTTGTAACTAAGACTCAAAAGAAGATACGTTATAGATGTGTCTATAGATAATGGATGGGATATAGGATGAAGATACCATTGGTTGTAAACTAAGAGAAGGTAAATAGTTAAAAAAATTGTTTGTACTTGGGATGAAGTTCAGTAGTAATTTATTTATCTAATTCTTTTTGCTGTCTAGACTATCCTTATGTTCTTATCATATTCTTGTATGTTCTTTATCTTTTCTTTCTTTTTTTCTTTTTCTTTCTTTTTCTTCTCCTTTGCCTTTTTCACTCTTTGTATTCTTTGTTTGCGTTAGATTTTACTATTGTAATTAAAATCCTTAATAAAATTATATATAAAAAAGTAAACCACATGATTTACATATTGATCCAATTGTATCACGGTAGTGTGATACAAAATCCTTCATTTTTCATCTTTGTGTTTTGTAAATTAGCACTATTATTGTCCTAATCCAGTTTCCTCTTTAAAAAAAATGTCACCACATGCTGATACTTTCTGGCATATTTACAATTATACACTAGTTGTGGGTTCCTTTCCTGTCTTTTTATCTGCCTCTGTTTTGTATCTCCAACAGATCCGACTCAAGTATCAATGATTCTGGGACACAACATTAGCATCATTTTCTTGTTGACTGGAAATGATTTGCCATTATTTTGAACTTTAATTTGCAACCCAGACATTTCCTGGTAATCCCCGATTCAAAAAGTAACTGGCCGGACCTTTCTTAACCTTCTTAGATCAATTTAGAATCAAGGTCATCTAGTCTCTTCATTCTATTAAAGTTTTCTTTTTTTCTTGTTAATATAACTCTCATCTCTTCTAAGCTTATGAGTGTATCAGTTTTATTTCTTCCTCTTCTTTATCAAAAAAGCTTTCCATTTATTCAGCACAAAGATCTTTTCACATAATAGCAGCAAAGAGCTTTTAGGATCTTTGTATCATTTCTATCCATATGTGAATGCCATTCATGGGGGGGGGGGGTGAGTGAGTCATTAAAAAAAAAAAAGTATCCTAGCCAAACAGATAGAAAGGAATGGAAAGGAGCCTTTAAAGTCCAGGCTGCTAATTTAATAATTTCTGGTGGTCCTGGAGAATCTTGACCTAAACCACTCTCCCAGTATACGGGAGACCTATTTCCACAAACAGATTTTAAATGTTAACATCTTTACATCTCTAGGCAAGTAGAAAGAGGAAATAAGATCCTATGCTAGAATAAAAGTTGCCCATCATCCTTTTTTTAATTGTTCCATTTAAAAAAAAAATCAGATTCTTTCAAATCTAATACCTTGCATACCTTGCAATGAAATATGAGTGCTGTTGTTATATTTTATATTTATTACAACAAAAATTATTAAGAGGAAGAGAATAAATAACTACCTAAAATAAATAAAAAAAGATAGAAAGGAGCAGAATGGATAAAGAATAAAATATCAATCAATAAATGAAGATCTTATAATAATCATAAAATCTAAAATTCATCATTTCAATCATTCATAGAACTAGGTTTGTTATTTCCTCGCGAGAAATAAGTAGAAATCTCTATTAAAAACTCTAAACAAGATAGTAATATTGGTATCACTGCTATTTGTCATTGTTCCAAGGGTGAATGCATGTAATCATGTAAAGGAGAAAAAAAAGGGGGGTGGGGGTGGGAGAGGAAGGTTTGCATGAGAAAACAAAACAAAAAGAACAAAATCCAAAAAGACAGCAAAACCAGTAAAAATAACATTGGGAAACTACATAAATTCCTTCCCATTATAACCAACTGATTATTGCATCAATATTTGTTTGTTCTGGAGCAAATACTAGTAGCAAAAAGTGAAGATTTAATTCAAAATTGTTTTTTTTTTTTTAAATAATGGTTTGTATTTTTTTCCAGTAGTTTTGAGGGCTTTTTTACTTGACAAAATATTCCTTCTGTATCACAACCTTTCCAAGCATTATATATTATATGATTTACCTATGTTCGCAATGATGGACTATCTGTAAAACATTTTATATCATTTTTTTTCTTCAGTTATAACATGGAGTGAATTTTATTGAATTGTCCACATTGTTGCATTGCAATTATTTCTTTAAACTTTCATATCCACATTATTATAAACATTTTTTTAACCAATAAGGTGTCTGTCAATTGTCACCATTGCGCCCACCGTTCAGTGCCTAAAGGTCCTTGATTTCTGTTTTTTGAGGAGTAGAGGATATGTATTTTCTTGTGAAAATGTCGTTTAAAACAGTATGAAAGCTAGATACTTTGACATTCCAAGGGAACTTCCTGAAAGTGCAGAAAACACCCCACTAATTTTGCATGGTGATATTTACTCCCAGGCTTATTAACACTTTACTCTCTAAAGCTGTAGTAGTTTGTCTGTGATCCAGTGGTGGGTTACCCCCGGTTCGGACCGGTTCTATAGAACAGGTAGTAAAACCGGCGGGAGGCTCCGCCCACCAACCCCAATATTTGTCATTAGGAAGCTTCTGTGCGCGCGCAGAAGAGTGCAAGCATGCATGCATGGTTCCATTGCGAACCGGTAGTAAAGGTAAGTAGAACCCACCCCTGCTGTGATCCACCTTGACAAAGTGGTTCGTTTCCTGAAAATGAGTTGCTCCTTCTTAATAGACTTCATATAAACATGTCAACCAGCCTCAATGAATAGGTAAATTTGAAGATGCTTTATTGAACCCACTCCTCGAATGAAACTTTGCTGTTTTTGGCCAGTTCGCCTTGACAAAAAGTAGGGGGAGCTATTGTGGCTTCACATGTTCATTTCAAAGCAGCAAGTAAACGTGAAAGGATCCGTAGGTGGATTGCTTCATTAAACTGCACAGCCATAGAATTTTGCAATAAAAGAGGTAGAAATAGGAAGACTAGTTTCAGTGCATTACCACACATCACCACATTTGACCTTTATTGGTTCTTGCTGCCAGAAAAGAGGTATCTTGAGCTTAGGAAAAGGGTGAGGTGAGGTGGGGGTTATATTTTTGCTGTCATGGTTTTTGTTAGTGTTGATCCTTGTTAGGAAAGAAATACTGTAACTAGACCATGTGCTGATAGTGAATTACGCAATTGATCCAGCATCCTATATATTCCATATGCTTCCTTTCTTCATATAGAAATTGAAGTGCGAACATTTCACACAGTTTTACTGCTTTTAGTGGGGGTGTTCTTGTGCTATTCTGCCTTTTTCTTCTTTGTCCTGCAAATGTGATGCTTTCCACATCTGATTAAATCAGATATGCGCAATTTTCCAGACCAAAAGCTAGATTGAGCCTTTGACTATTGGGGGTTATGCTCCAAAACTAATGGGAAGGAAATGATTTCACCTTTATTGAAATTCAATAAAATTCTGCATAGTTAATAAGATTAGTTTCCAGTTATGTATTTATTAATTTTTCTGCATTATCATCTTGAAAATTATGTTTGGGCAATAATTTTCAGAGGTTTCTGGGCCTACACTCAAGACTGACCAAATAGAACAAACGTTTCTGTGACATTTTGGACAATTTAATTGATTTTTCAGATGCATTTATATTTGCCACAATAATGTAATTATAGTTTTTAGGGATAAGACATTAAATCATTAAAGAAAATAATTTTTAAGTGTGCTATATGCTATTTAATGTGCCAAAGACGCTTTTCCAAAAGACAGCTGGACTTTCTTGGTTTTTTCTTTTGAAAACATTTCATTTCTCTTCCAAGAAGCTTCTTCAGAACTGAGAACATGAAAACTGAAACATTTTGGAAAAAGCACTTTTTAGACAACCATGACCTGGATGATTGAGAATCACTATAGACGTGCCATTTAATGATTAACAAGACTGGCCAGGGTTTATTTTTTAGACAAATTCATTACCCTCCACTTCTATTCAGCTTCAAATCTGAATTTTACTCAGTTATGGAATAAGGTTTTCAAAAAGTTAAACCATCTTATTATCTAAATCTTTGATAATAGAATGCTTTGATGGTTGAATTGCCATCTAGATAAAATAGCCACACACATTAGATCAGGCTTATGCAATTAAACAGTTAAAAGAGTAGATATTTAATATAATTTGTAGCATAAAATACAAATTAGATGGACATGATCTTATAGATGACCCTCACTCTGTCAAGGACCTTGGAATACTCATTTCTAAAGATCTAAGTGCCAAAGCCCACTGTAACAACATTGCCAAAAAGGCATTAAGAGTTGTTAACCTAATCTTGCGTAGCTTCTTCTCTGGTAATATTGTACTACTAACTAGAGCATACAAAACATTTGCTAGACCAATTCTCGAATATAGATCATCTGTCTGGAACCTGCACTGCATATCGGACATAAATACAATTGAAAGAGTCTAGAGATATTTTATGAGAAAAGTCCTCCATTCCTCTATGTGCAATAAAATACCTTATGCCACCAGACTTCAAATTTTGGGCTTAGACAATTTAGAACTATGCCGACTTCTGTCTGACCTAAGTGTAGTACATAAAATTATCTGCCACAATGTCCTACCTGTCAAAGACTACTTCAGCTTCAAACACAACAATACAAGAGCAAATAATAGATACAAACTCAGGGTA